AAAAATGTTAAAAAAGATTAAAGAGACGCCTGCACGGATCGCAGTAAAATTCTACATCTTCTCGAGTAAAAGCAGCTCACCATTGAAAATGTAATGGTAATTTTTCTTTAATTAAATGCGGCGATCTCGAAAGCAGCGCGCCATTATAAAATAGCGAGCGCAATTTGCATGAACATTCAACACACGTAGCCATTACAGATGCGCCGACTCCGTCACCGCTGGCCGTCCCTCTCCCATGAAGCCAAGCGCATGCCATGGATGTGCGCAGTGGAATATGCGAATTTCTGCACTGCCCAAGTGAATCCGCAAAGCCTTCACAAATCTAAACGCGCGTGTATACGATGGCCAAATTCGCCTGACAACGCGTCCACCCTTGTTAACAAGCCAGATAAGGCCACCGTTTGTTAGTGAAACTAACGTGTAGGGGGTTATTTTATAGATATATCTTTATATATATAACTATATATAAATTTATTAGTATAGTTACATAAATATAATTAAGATATATTAATATATATAATAATATATGTTATTAATAATATTCGAGATTCATCTCGCGTGTAATAATATGTAAACACGCTGGCTGTAACGTCACGTGTTTATCGCCGGGACGTATATAATTATCATCACTATTCACGCCGGATAAATAATGTTCGGCGCCGTATTCGCTGTTGCAGGGACCAAGTGGAAGCGACAGAGCGGCCGTCGGACTGGAGCTGCTGGCCGAGGCGGCAAACTATGCCGGCCGTTGCAGCGTATGCCCTGCAGAACAACCCGCTTACCCTGGTTACTCCCTCGCGCCGCCGCGCCCCGCTCCCACCCAGCCGTGCCGCGCTACACGCCCTGCAATGCTCGACATGTACTACCGCCATGGCGGGGCGCAGCGGCGCGTGCAGGCGGCCCGCGTGTTGCCCGGATCGATGACGTCATGTCGTCGATACCGCGGACTCTTCAACTTCTCGGGCGGCGTTGCGCACCTGCGCGCAGCCGCACATTCGGTGGCCGATCACGCGATCTAACGGGGAGCAGCGCGACGCCGTGACGGATGTCGCTAGTGCTCGATCGCCGCCGTCACGGTACCCGCACAGAACGATCTGAACAAGGCGAGTCGCCATGAGCCGCATGATGCACCGCCCATCACAGGATGTGTCACGAATGCGCAGCGTGTTAGTGTTGAGTCGAACAACCCGTTGCCTGTAAAATCTTATATATATTACTATATATCTAATATATATTAATAATATAATACAATATATATCATATATATATATATATATCATATATATAATAAATAATATTATAATAATAATATATTATATAATATTATATATATATAATACCGGAGCAGATGTTCTCGGATCTCCGTAAGCGTAGTTATCGATGGAAAGGTATTGCAGTGTTGCGCTCAACGTTGAAATACGAGCCTGTAATTATAATTATAGTAATACAAATAAAGCGTGCCCGATAGATAATGGTATTATATAGTTGGACGGAATCTGCAATTAGTAGTCAACCGTGATTTCAGCGCCAAATCTGCACTCAATGGGTCCATGCCGATACTTGTCACGGCTACGCGCGTGTTAAGGCAAAGCGTGAGTGACAATAGAATCGACGTAGTAAAACAGTTAGTTAACTGCGTCCTGTACATAATGTGAATGTCCGTTGCCATATGTATTGAGATCGAATTGCCGGTTTTATGTGCTAAGAATTCTGAAAACGCTATAAATGTATCATTATCGCGTGAAGTATAAAATGAAGTCGACAATACCGTGTTTCTTTTAATCTAACGTATTTCGTCTCATCAAAGTAACACAGCGAAAAAATGAAAGCTTACAATATACGAGTCCGCTGGGCCCTGACGGTTGTGAAGATATCTACCACCGTATGACGCGTCCAATCCGCCGCGTGTTCTGTAACACAGCAGCAGATACGTCTGCCGCACAGTGTCCCGAGTAGAGACACTCATGTCAGAAACCTTCTCCTCTCGCTATATAACGCCAATCCATAGAGAAGTCAGAAAATGCGCAGCATTTTCGGAGCAAAATTAAAACAAAACTGGAGGAAATCCAAACTCGAGCGAAATGCTCATAGATTAAAGTACGAACCTATGAAATGCGAGACGGGCGCGCACAGCGGGCGACTGCGTGACGTCACGCTCGTGCCGCGCGCGCAAGCTTTGTTGTCGAATAAAGACAAATCAACCGATCACATTTAAAGCAGAGTCTTTTGTGTATAAAATTATGTATTAGAAACGAAATCATAATGTATTTGGTTATGATCACGCGGCGATGTTAGTGGCGGGTGGATTATCGAGACGGTGGTGCAGACATGAACGGGTTGGGCGTCCGCCGCGCTCCTTCCCTGCGCGGCGACGCGAAGTCATGCATGACGTAGTGTCCACGCTAGTCGCGGCGACGCATTGTTTTGTATGCAAATCTGCGCTTATTTATGTATATATTAGATTTACTATCGAATAAACGTTCTTTGTATGCCCAGAAACGGAAGAAGCGGTGTTTTATTTATAGAGCGTCAGCCGTTTATGCGGCGACGTCGCTTGTCCGGGCGCGGCTTGCGGCCAGCAGAATGAAAGCGCGGAATGCGCTGCCATGCGTATCAACGCAAGTCAAGCCGCCAAGCGGCAGCAGACGATGGCCGTGACGGGCCGCCGCGAGGCGAGTCCGCCTGGACGTGTTACGCGTGCTACGCGCGCGTTGCACCGACTTCGTGAATTCCGCGCCGACACGCTCTGATCGATTATGTCTGAATTTCGAGAATGAATTTTCGCTCGCAGATGAATAGAAGACTCGATGCAAAACGTGCACACGAGCCAGGCCTATGCAATCGAGGAGAGTAGAATAATAAATGACGCCACAGGCCTCGCGCACATGAGCAGCATTGTTGGTCTATTATCACACCACACCATAGAATTACCACGTAACGTACACAATTGGTTTAGGAAAACAGGAGATAATGGAAATGTTCAGCACGATAATAATATATCTATAATATCTATAGAAGATATCATATCTATTTTTTGTAATAATAGCATAGGCACGGCACGACCACGCACGCCACACACAGACACGCATCGAATAAATACACACACACGCACGCCGAACCATACACGACACACACACTAAAAACACACACACACACCCACACACACACACACACACACACACGCGCAAGCAGCAGGGCGCACACGCACACACACACACACATCACACACACACACACGACACGCACACAGACGTCACACGCAACGCGAACGCACGCACGCACACACCACATATAAATATCTATCCCTTCTATATATATATATATATTATATATACTATCTCTCTCTCTCTCTCGTCTTCTCTCTCTCTCTATATATATATATATATATATTCGTGCGTGCGTGCATACGTGTGCGTGTGTATACGTGCGTATTGAGGTATACACAAGCTAAGAAGCTGGTATTTTTTTCCATTCTCACGTTTGCAACCGCATTTTGTTGGATGAACACAGGGTGAAATAGCGTTCATTATTCGCTATTAACAAAACTGCACTCTGTGGGCACCATCGGTTGTCAGGTTCCTGTTTTAAAATTCATAACCATTCTTTAATCAAAATATTTTAATCTGTTCCAGAAAGCGATTGCATATTGAAGCTGGCAAGTCAAGACCCAGGCCGAGTGGGTTGCAGATGTCTGATGCCAACCGCGTACCCATTGGTCGCTCCAGCAATTCCGTATCTGAGTTTGGGAGTGGACTGTCTGACCGTGGGAAGTCTTCGAAGTCATTGGCTCCGAAAGCAGTTCATAAAGTTGGCAGCAAGGTCGTAAAAGACAGAAAGGCTATCGCAGGTCGTCGAGTCTATATGAAAAAGCAAGTAGGAAAGTCATCAACGAAGAAAATCAAAAGTGCATCACTAACCGCAGGCTGATTGCTAATCCTTGCTTCCATTACTGATCATGAAGCACTTATTAATTAATGCGTAGCGGCATCAAATGATTTGGCCGCTGTAACAGCTCCTGTATTTTAAATGATCAGAGTCTGCGTGAACATTGAATAGGTTTTTGTCTTCATGAACTCACGATCAATTATTAATAGTGTTAATATGCAGATAAGTATAAGTTAAATGCAGCGGTTATGTGTTCGTGTTCGTTTTCTGTAATAAACTTGTTATTATCGTGGCGCAACTTTACCGTATTACATTATTGTATTCACTGCTCCTGTTTATTTGTAAACTGCTTATACAATTATTTGTAAACTGCTTATACAATTATTTGTAAACTGCTTATACAATTACACCATTTTATTGGACCAGAGTATAGTCATACACTGCCTAATCGTGTAGAGCTGTGTATTCTCTTACATTCATTCCATATCCCGATCACCTTCTGTATGACTAACACCTTTCCTCTTATAGTGTCATTTCTTGAGTCTTCGCCATATCTTCGCCATTGCTTGCATCCCTCCGCTATGATCAGCATTGCTTTCATTCCTCTGTTATGCGTAGCATTGCTTAGATCCTTCCTGTATGCTCAGCATTGCTTGAATCCCTTATATATGGTCATCATTGCCTTCATTCTTCTTCTATGCGCAACATTGCTTATATCACTCCCGTATGCGCAGCATTGCTTGGAGCCCTCCTATATGCTCATCATTGCTTACATCCCTCCTCCATCCTCATTATTTCTTGCACCTTTCATATCTGTTCGTCATTTCTTCTATCCCTCCTGATTCATCATCAGTTCTCGCACGCTTCCTATATACTCATCGTTTCTTGCATTCCATCCGCGTGCATCCTTGTCAGTTCCAATATCGCGCTTCAGTTTCGCCGCACGCACCCGCCGCTCCATACACTGGCCCTCTCCGCCACTCGGCGTGTTTGTGTAGCAGCCGCCGCAAATCCTCCCTAATCCACTTCAGTCATTGTTGCGCTGTAATGCCATTACGCTGCTTATTCCTTCATTAGTTTGATAATGGTTGTCTCAACAGTGCTTACTCCCGCATTAATGCTCGGCGCTGGCCGGCGCGGCCGCCGCAAGCTCGTTACGCGTTTATTAGCAATTTCGTTAATCCATTTACAGCGCGCATGAGTGAGGCCCGCCAGGGTGCGCGAGCAAAGCTTGTTAGGGTAGCAAGTTATTGTGGCGAAAGAAGCCTGCTAGGGTGGCGAGAGAAGCCCGCTAGGGTGGCGAGAGGAGCCTGCCAGGGTGGCGGGAGAAGCCTTCCAGGGTCATGGGAGACGCCTTCTAGGGTGGCAGGAGGAGCCTAATAGGGTGGCGGGAGAAACCTACTAGGGTGATAGGAGACGCCTGCTAGGGTGGCGGGAGAAGCCTACTAGGGTGGCGGGAGAAGTCTGCTAGGGACATGGGTATAGGGTGGCGAGACAAGCCTGCTAGGGTGGCGGGAGAAGCCTACTAGGGTGGCGGGAGAAGTCTGCTAGGGACATGGGTATAGGGTGGCGAGACAAGCCTGCTAGGGTGGCGGGAGAAGCCTACTAGGGTGGCGGCCAAGCCTGCTACCGGCCACCCCACAGCCCCCAGTGAATAGGAGAAGTCTGGCTAAGGGTGGGCGGAGAAGCGCTACTAGGGTTATTGAGTGGGAAAACTCTCCGGCCCTACTGCTACAGAGTAAGAAAAGCTTGCCAGCCAATGCGTCTGCCGTTGCAACTAATCGTAGCTCAATGAAGGCTTCGGTTGTTAACGTGATCATGCACATATAAGCTCATCGGCAACCTGCTAATTTTGCGGCAAACAAAACCGTTTATTATATGTCTATAAAGCAGTCCGGAAATGTTTACTCTCTTCTCTATGTTAGGCGTTTGCTGTCCACTATCCCGACAGTGTTTGCGAGATTACCTCTAGCCAAAACACGTAGACGCAAGGTTAGCTATGTCTCTAACAGGGACGTTTGAATGAGCGTGAGGCTTAGGGTATGTTGTCTATGAGCATTCCAAAACGTGCCTATAATTTTTTAACGACGACAGATAGATTACACCGCTGACTCTCCGCGCTCCTGCAGCCCACATCTCGTATCTTTCCTCATAGCAACAGTTAAAAAGTCGCAGTCAGGGCGCCGTCGTCTCACGTTTCGCAATCATTTCGCTAGATGTATACCCGGACGTACGCCTCTTTCTCTTTCTGCTCCAAATGTCCATTTATATTATAGCCTTATCGTATCGAGTGCGGGCATCAATTCGGCTTTCAAACACATGTCGCGCGTGGCACGTACGCCGCGCAAAGTAGCTTTCCCTCTGTGCACTATTATGTCGCGGATCCAGCCGCGGGGGCGGCGGCATTTTTGACAGCGGCTGCGTGGTGTGAGCGTGGCGCGTGGAAATCCGCTAAGGGGTTACGAAGGGTCTCACGCTCGAGACCTCGTGAAATGAAACCGATAAGTGGAACCCGACGCAAGAGTTGTGGCGTTGACACTCTATCGCACATGTAACTCTTCTGCTGCAGTACGGCTGCGATGTGCGACCGTATGGCCATGCCTTGGCTTTTCCGGTCCTACAACAAGGGCAAACTGCACAGTTTGCAGTGGGACAAGTAAAAGTGTGACGATCGAATTGCGTTCGCCCATGTTAAACCGCCCACGTTTCAGCTCGCTCACGTGTTCATTCAAGTCGCGGCTTTTATAATTACGTGATTATAGTTTTTGTTTGATGATCATTTTACTTTGTTGTTTTATATTCGTTAGGCTTATAATATTCACTTAATATTTATATTATTCTACGACTTTTTGATCTCTTACCCGACCTTCCCTCCCTCGTCTTCTGTAATATGAATGAAGCGACTATAATAATTCACCTATATCGAATTTGTGAATCGATCGATCTATGGCTCGCGATCCGTGTAGGCTCGCCCGGCGATTGTTCTTTGTATGTATTCTACGCTCCTTACTCATGAATAAGTGCTATTGTGATGCTAAATGTGTCTAATTAACGAAGCCATAAGAGAGGCGAGCTTAGCTAATGCATGTGTTTTGTATGCTTCGTTAATAACGCTGTTACTCATCAATATTCTGCCGCCGGCGTCTGTCCTCTCATGCAAATATTACGCAATGGTGGACGAACGCCGAGTTTGGACAGGCGTGACACGCTGACGCGGGAGCGGCATGCAGCAGGATGACAAATGCTAACAAATGACAAGCTGAAGACGTATATTAGGATGACGACGACTGCCGCACATTCGATTTCCTCTAACACAAGCACAGCCATTGTATGGTTAAATCTCTTATATTATATATATATATATATATATAGAGAGAGAGAGAAGACGAGAGAGAGAGAGAGATAGTATATATAATATATATATATATATATTGGTCTGTGTGCGTGCGTGCGTTCGCGTTGCGTGTGCGTCTGTGTGCGTGTGTGTGTGTGTGTGTGTGTGTGTGTGTGTGTGTGTGTGTGTGTGTGTGTGTGTGTGTGTGTGTGTGTGTGTGTGTGTGTGTGTGTGTGTGTGTATGCGTTCGCGCGCGCGCGTGTGTGTGTATTTATTTCGATGCGTGTCTGTGTGTGCGTGCGTGCGTGCGTGCCTATGCTATATTACAAAAAATATTATATATCTTCTATAGATATATAGATATATTATTATCGTGCTGATTTTCCATTATCTCCTGTTTTCCTTAAACCAATGTGATCGTTACGTGGGGTAATTCTATGGTGTGTGTGATAATGACAACAATGCTGCTCATGTGCGGAGCCTGGCGATTATTATTCTATCTCTCATTGCCATAGGCTGGCTTCGCGTCACGTTTTGCATCGGTCTTCTATTCATCTGCGAGCGAAAATTCATTTCCGAAATTCAGATAATCGATCAACGTGTCCCCGCGGCGCGGATTCACAGTCGGTGCCACGCCGCGCGTGCACGCGTACACGTCAGCGGACATCGCCTCGCGGCCCGTCACGCTCCATCGTCTGCTGCCGCTTGCGTGATTGGTTGATCCGCATGGCCCGCGCATCCGCGCTTTCATTCTCTGCCCAAGCGCCCGGACAACGACTCGCCCATAAACGGGCTGACGCTCTATAAATAAAACACCGCTTCCTTCCGTTTCTGGGGCATACAAAGAACGTTTATTCGATAGTAAATCATAATATATACATAAATAAAGCGCAGATTTGCATACAAAAACAATCGTCGCCGCGACTGCGTGACACTACGTCGATGCATGACTTCGCGTCGCGCGCGGCAGGGAAGGAGGGGCGGACCGCCAACCCGTCATGTCGCCAACCGCTCGATATACACCCGCATAACATCGCCGCGTGACATTAACATAATTATGATTTCGTTTCTAATACATAATTTATACACAAAACTCTGCTTTAAATGTGATCGGTGATTTGTCTTTATTCGACAACAAAGCTTGCGCGCGCGGCACGAGCGTGACGTCACGCAGTCGCCGCTGTGGCACCGTCTCGCATTTCATAGGCGTATTTAATCTATTAGCATTTCGCTCGAGTTTGATTTCCTCAGTTTTGTTTAATTTTGCTCCGAAAATGTCGCATTTTTGATTCTCTATGGATTGGCGTTATATAGCGAGAGGAGAAGGTTTCTGAACATGAGTGTCTCTACCTCGGGACACTGTGCAGGCAGACGTATTCTGCTGCTGTGTTACAGAAAGCGCGGGATGACGCGTCATACGGTGGTAGATATCTTCACAACGTCAGGCCCAGCGACTCGTATATTTAAGCTTTCATTTTTCGCTGTTCTACTCTTGATGAGAGCGAAATACGTTAAGTTAAAGAAACACGGCTATCGTACTTATTTTATACTTCACGCGATAATATACATTTATAGCGTTTTAGAATTTTACACAATAAACCGGCAATTCGATCTCAGTAATATGGCAACGACATTCACATTATGTACAGGACGCAATTAACTAACTGTTTTACTACGTCGATTCTATTTTACACTCAGCTTTCGTTACACACGCGCGGTAGCCGGACAGTATCGATGGACCCATGAGTGCAGATTTGCGCTGAATCACGGTTGATCTATTGCAGATTCCGTCCAACTATATATACCTTCTATCGGTGCACCTTATATTTGTATTTATATATATTACAGCTCGTATTTCAACGTTGAGCAACACTGCAATACCTTTCCATCGATAACTACCTTACGAGATTCGAGAACATTGCTCGGTATTATATTATATAGTATGTATATATATATATATATACATTTTATATATATATTTAAATATATTTAATATATATATTATATATATATATTGTATTTATTATTATATATATTATATATATATATATATAAAGAGTTTTACAGGCAACCGTTGTCGACTCAACACTATACACGCTGCATTCGTGACACATCTGTGATGGGGGTGCATCATGGCGGCTCATGGCGACTCGCTTGTTCAGCTCGTTCTGTGCGGGTCCGTGACGGCGGCGATCGAGCTAGCGACACTCGTCACGGGTCGCGCTGCTCCGTAGATCGGTGACGGCATGTGCGGCTGCGGCAGGTGCGACGCCGCCGAGAAGTTGAAGAGTCGCGGTATCGACGACATTGACGTCATCGATCCGGGCAACACGGGCCGCTGCAGCGCCGCTGCCGCCGCCTGGCGGTAGTACATGTCGAGCATTGAGGGCGTGTAGCCGGGCACGGCTGGGTGGGCGGCGGCGGCGGCGGCAGGCGAGTACCAGGCGTACGGGTTGTTCTGCAGCATACGCTGCACGGCCGCATAGTTTCCCGCCTCGGCCAGCAGCTCCAGTCCGACGGCCGTCTGTCGCTTCCACTTGGTCCTGCAACAGCGAATACGGCGCGAACATTATTTATCCGCGTGAAATAGTGATGATAATAATATACGTCGCGATAACACGTGACGTTACAGCAGCGTTTACATATATGTACAGCGAGAGAATCTCGAATATTAATGAACATATATTATTATAATATTAATATATCTTAATATATTTATGTATATACATATAAATTTATATATATTATAGTATATATATATATATACATAAATAACCCCCTACACGTGTTACTAACAACGTGCTTATCGGCTGTAACAAGGTGGACGCGTGTCAGGCGAATATTGGCCATCGTATACACGCGTTTAGATTGTGAAGGCTTGCGGATTCACTGCAGTGCAGAAATTCGCATATTATGCGCACATCTGCAGCGCTTGGCTTCATGGGAGAGGAGGCAGCGGTGAGGTCGGGCATCTGTAATGGCTACGTGTGTTGAATGTTCATGCAAATTGCCTCGCTATTTTATAATGGCGCGCTGCTTCGATGATCGCGCATTTATTAAAGAAAAATTACCATTAGCATTTCAATGGTGAGCTGCTTTATCGGAGAAGGATGTAATTTTACTGCGGATCCGTGCAGCGTCTCTTTAATCTTTTTAACATTTTCAGTAGCATTTTGTTTGTCTGCTTTCACCAAGCATTCATTTCCTCTCGTATCTTTAAACAGTTCGAATTACGCCTTCCGCTCGCCGTCTCGAATTCATGCCTGTCTCGCTCGCTCGTCTTAGCGGGCCGGTGTACAGGGGCCGCGCATTTATGTTCGTTTAATCGCACTGCTCCGCCATTGACGAGATGCGATGCGATGGAGAATTATGCAAATCCCGCGTCGCTTCGTCGTCATTCCATCTTATTTCACGCACGGCTTGCCGCCGGCGCTGTATGAGGCCGCGGCCCGCTACGGCAGCCGTCCACCGCGGCGGGTGAGAGCAATGCAAGCGCTGGCGCGGCTAGTGGGGTGGAAATCATGCTAAAATGTGCCGCTTCCCGTTTAGCCGAGTAGAAAATGAGTGAAACGCGGGGAAATGTATGCAGAGTTGAAACAGGAAATTTGCGCGCAGCCGGGCCACGCACCATTTAGCCGGCAGCAGCGCGCGGCGCGAGTGCGCATGCGCAGTGGAGGCTGCGCTGCTCATCGGCTGGATGCGCGGAGGGAGGCAGGACGCATCGATCGGCGCGCATGCTCTTATTTCCGCGATCAGATGGATCGTTTAGAATTTAGATATACGAAGCGTTCTAAACGATATTACAAGATTATGTACTAATGTAACTGGAGACTGGCTCGCGCAGACAGTCGAAACTATATACGAACAATTTCATCAGCATAAGCATCTACGAATATTGAACTTGAAAGGAAAGCGACAGCTTACATCACAATGGGAACGGTTTAGCGAAAACGTTACTATTACATAATTTATCGATATCGTGAATAGCAGGCATTATGCGCTTTCAAATTTGTAGCTCATTATATTAATTTCAGCAATTACTACACGTTGGATTCCTGGACAAGCGCCGACGTTCTCGTACGCGCATACGCGAGCTGCCGCGCCAGTTTTCCGCGCACGTATCTGCATTGTGCGACGAAATTAAACGGCCGCCATCTTTCCTCTCGTGCGTGTGATACGTAGAGGCGTCTGCCGCCGCTGCGCTCTTCTCGCGAGAAAGCCGAGCGGCCCTGTCTCCCAGGAGACGAGTGCCGCCAGTCAGAAAGCGGCCAGAAACATTGTCGATGTAAGCTTGCGGATTATCGGCTCATTAGGCGTGTCGTATAGGCGGCGTCGGCGCGCCTTGCCGCTATCGTGACGAGATCCCACCGCCGCGTGTCTCTCTCCATCAGCCTCACCCCCCCGCGCGCCCAGCGGGTTAAAATATTAATACAAATTAATATAATTGCCATATTAAATATTAAATCCGCGCAACGAATTAAAGGCGCAGTTTTTCCATGCGATTATGTCCGTAATCGTACGAGGGGTCTAGGGAGCCGGACCCAGGCAGCCGACTTTTCCACGGAGCGCTGCACGAGATAAGAGTAGAGGTCTAAACTGTGCTGCGCTTCTCGCTGCCAAACGATGGCGCTTACGTAGTGCACGACTAAACAAATCAGCCTAATTAGGAAGCTGCCCCATATTACCAGTACTACGCGGAGTCAGCGAGGGGGGCAACGTGCGGACATGCAGTGTGAAGCGGGGGAGAACTAACGTGAAGCTATTTCTGGCCCATCGAGATTTGGATATTTCAGAGCGTAATTCCCCGAATATTCAATATCGCACGAAAACTCGGTTCAGATGGAATGCGGTTGGCTCGTAATGCGAGAACTCGGATAACGTGATGCTAACGCGCGCATTAGATGTTTGCTGCAGCCATGACGCGTTGCCTCCCCCTAGTCACAACTCCGTGACGCCCATCACCTTCCCACAGACGCGACACACACACACACGCACACACACACACACACACACACACACACACCGAGTCACCTAGGTACATAAGCGGCTAGTTATATGAATAGCCACCGTAATTCGGCTATTTTCTTTGCGCTAATTGAATAAGCGTGCGAACCATCGTGCGAAGAAGCGCATCTCGTTCGCTGATGACGATGAGCGGGGAGTCAGCGCATTGTGTGCGCCCAGCCTCCGCCGCGGCCGCGAGCATAAATGCAGCAGCCGTCGACGCGACTATCTGCTGCTGCCGCATCCGTAAAGCTGAGCACCAACTATGCGCATCTTAGCATCTTCTATCAGATCCGATATTTGCACCCATTGTCACTGCATCTCCTTCCGCGGAATGATTTGCGCGGGGGGAGGGGGATTGTCGTTCGCTGCCCCTCCCCCTCGACCCCACCCCCGCGTGATTGCTGACGATCGGTGCCGATAGCGCATCGACTCACTGCGCCTGCATGTCAGGAAGCTGTCGTCATTATGGTGGTCGTAATTAATAGTAATAATAAAGCAAAACGAGTCGGAAGCGCTCGTGAATTATATGCAGTTAGAGTGATTTCCTGTGCAGAAAACGTCGGCATTTCGTCGGGCAGGTCCCGATGCGCGCGTGCGTGCCGCCAGGGTGCAGACGAGCGGAGTGGGACGAGGAGGAGTCGAGAAGCCCGGCGGCGGAAGAAGACAAGCGAGCGACGCAATATCGCCATTCACGTACGCGGGTCTGTTTAACATTTATGAGAAATATTGAAATGGTAATTATGGGCTGAACCGTCAATCGGATCCAGAATAAAAAGTAGAGAGTTAGAAATTAATCTTTTCAGAGAGCAAATTGTCGGCGCACGGATTCATGCATAAGTAATTTATATACATATACACACTTATATACATATACATATACATATACATATACATATACACACTTATATACATATACATATACATATACATATACATATACATATACATATACATATACATATACATATACATATACATATACATATACATATACATATTGCCTTATAAGGTAGCGTGATCATTATAATTAAACCGGTATTCGCCCATGCTAATTCGTTCAGAATGTGACGCACGAATTGTGACAATAGGTGTACTGAAATATTAGTTTGGCCCCGTATAAAGAGAACTAATAAATGACTGACTTAAATAGGAAGGTTGTATATTCAATCTGATCAGCAGCTGACGTTACCGCAACATGTCCCCGCACGCTCAAATCAGTACTAATAGCTAATTCAATTGTGTGTGTGGCTAATTACACAATGCAGGTAATCGTGGTGTAGGCAAGGACGCGCGAGGCAGGTAATGGCGTGCGAGTACATGCGCATATGCGCGATATAGTTCAGGGATCTCTATAATTAATATAATACATTAACCTGATATTACATGATAAGCAGACAATATAGTTTTATGCGCGTAGAATTTAATTTATTCGATTAATTTCTGCATTGCATTAATAATCTAGTGTTATAAATGCTCCTGAATAATGTTAGGCTGTACAAAGCTAGACTCGAGAGACTAGTGCCACAACAACTCTATACCCTTAAAAGTAGTGCAATAGATTTGCAGGCCTTGTATGTGAGTTTAGCCAGTACAAACTAGCCTGTATGTAGTTAGCCTACGCAGTGCTCTGCCATAGAGTCTAGCTGTATATTAGAGACGTGCGTACACTTACCGTCTGGTTTTGGCTTACCACGTCTTCACTGCCGTGTCAGTGAGATAAAGCGTAGCGCCAACTCCATCCTGTGCTGAACACTCACAGTACTTCTGGCCTCTCAAAACTCGACTCCAAGCCTACCAATTGCAAGAAAAAGAACGTGTTATCATAAAGTTTATATCGACAGACACATCGATAGATGTGAGAATAGGAAATCTCAAGGTTATGCACTTATTGGTATTTCCGCAATGCAAGACACATGTGTATAGAGGTGTACAGAGTATAGAGGTGTATACAGGTGTATAGAGGTGTACAGAGTATAGAGGTGTATAAGGTGTATACGAGGTGTACAGAGTATAGGAAGTTGTATACAGGCTGCAAGTAGAGTGTGTGTACAGAGTATAGAGGTGTATACAGGTGTATAGAGGTGCATACAGTGTATAAGGTGTACAGAGTATAGAGGTGTATTACAGGTGTATTAGAGGTGTACAGAGTATAGAGGTGTATACAGGTGTATAGAGGTGTACAGAGTATAGAGGTGTATACAGGTGTATAGAGGTGTACAGAGTATAGAGGTGTATACAGGTGTATAGAGGTGTAAGAGCAGATAGAGGTGTACCAGAGTATAGAGCGGTATACAAGTGTAAGAGGTGTACAGAGTATAGAAGGTCGTAATATCAGGTGTATAGAGGAAGATCAACATTGCTGTCAATTAACAGCGATGTGCGAAAGGTCGTGCACGACCACGGGAAGAAATGCTTGCGGGTCACACCGCGTACGCATATAATCACCTATAATCAGCTTTAACGTAAACGTGAAACGCATATATATAGAAGCATCACCGTAAATTCCTGCAGTTTTAGCCGCAAACATGGCCACATAAAATCACACAACACTGGGCGGGGCTGGCCTCTCACCACAGCGTGTGTGTGTGTGTGTGTGTGTGTGTGTGTGTGTGTGTGTGTGTGTGAGTGTGTGTGTTGTGTGTTGTGTTGTGTGTGTGTGGTGTGTGTGTGTGTGTGTGTGTGTGTGGTGTGTGTGTGTGTGTGTGTGTGTGTGTGTGTGTGTGTGTGTGAGTGTGTGTGAGTGTGTGTGTGTGTGTTGTGTGTGTGGTGTGTGTGTGTGTGTGTGTGTGTGGTGTGCTGTGTGTGTGTTGTGTGTGTCGTGAAGAGTTCAACCGCATGCTTAACGTTTTAGTGTAGTTTCTTCGTGTTGGCGAACTAGGTGGGAGCATCATCCACCGAGTGCGGCGCGGTCATGGGAAAATACATGAAGCTGACATCGTGAGGAAATCATCCGGCGGCGATATTCGTTCGGACATAGCCTCTTAATCGGTAACTGTAGCGATAAGACAAACACGCGCGGAGTGAGCTTCATACGTGGGAAACGCGGATCCGCGCCGACAGCCGCAGATTAATAGGCCAACAGCTGGCATAATCAAAATGTTTCGCCACCTTTAAAGGTGAGTAAGCATCAAAACTCGGTTAACGCGCAGCGTGTATGCGACACGCGGCGAGCGGAGAGGATGGCCCCCCCAACACACATCCAACACACACACCCACACACACACACACACACACCAACACACACACGGAAAAAGACACACACGACACACCACACACCCACAGACACACACACATGCACACACAGCACACACACACACACACACACACACACACACACAACTACAACACACACACACACACACACATACACACACACACACACACACACACACACAACAACACACACGCCACACCACACACAACACACACACACACACACACACACACACACACACACATATCATATATAACATAAAAAGCAGTCGAATACCTCGCTCGCACAGGTGTTAATACGCGGGGGATTTAATCCCCGCGCGTAGACGCTCCAAACAGGATTGAGCTTTAGATAATCACATACGGGATAATAAACAATACAGTGGCGTAAACACGCAGTCGCACTATAACAGGTAGTATGCTATAGTCTGCCTGTAACGCACGCCGTCTATGACGTACGAGTTCTACGGGAACAAGGTGTATTCGAGCGATGGTTTCATAAACGGAGAAGAAGAATTGTTCGCGGCGAAGGGCTGAAATTCTCACCGATTTAGCTGATGGTCTGTAAACGCCGTTCTCGCTTTCCTCGCCTTCTTCATCTTCAGGGTTTCTCTGCTGTCGTTGCTAGATGAGATCGGATCGTCATGCTTCGTGTGCCCTGCAGGAGACGTGGCGAAAACCGCGACGTTACAGACGGTCAACCCACACAGCACGTGCACATGCACACGCACAAATACACACACATGGAGACACAGGCCGCACGCGCGCACACGCATCTACGCACACGTACACACAAACGCGCATAGTAGACACACACACAGACACACACACACACACACACACACACACACACACACACACACACACACACACACACACACACACACACACACACCCACACACACACAAACACACACACAAATACAACAACAACAATAACAAAACACAATATGCACACGCACACGCGCACGCACACAAACCCGTTTCCGCCATGGTTACGACGATGATAATTATTATTCGCTTATATTGCCGTTTCATTAACACTGTATTAGCGAATTGCTCATATTATAATGTGCTTATGTTCATTGTCAATTCCGCTACATGCCCGTGACGTAAATCTTTTTAGATGAAGTGCGTAAATCTGTATGCATGCATGTGTGCGTGAGTGTATCGGTTGCGTGCGTGTACGTGTGCACGTGCCTGTGCGCGTATGTGTGCTTGTTCGCTTTTAACCCGTTTGAATGTTTTGTAGCTTCTACCTGTCAATGCATTTCGTCGGGTTGAATTCGTTAACGTTGTTTCGTCGTCATTAAGTTATTTTCATACTTATCAATGATTAGGGTAGGGGTGTCTAGTGTCTATTTTTTGAGAACCGCATATTTTTTACGCGTTCTAAATTCAGGGGAAAGTTTTCAGCGCGATCATGTCGGACATGTACCGTCCGCACACACGCATGCACACAATAGTCGCGAGTCTAATGCACTGTATTGCGACATAGCGGCGGGTTACGCGCAGCTATTGTGTCCGCACGGCAGGCCAGGTGCTTTCCTCCCCTCGTTTAGGTACATATTTGGACGACTGAAGGTTTTGTCAATTTTCGCGAGTAATCTAAACACGTCGCTTCCGTCGCGCGGGTCATCAGAGTGTTTGCTGCAATCAGCTGCACTTATCCGTGCCAGCCCATCGTATACCCACACATATAGAGAGCGGGCAGTGTCGGCGACTCGTCATCTACCGTGTCAGCTCATTTCTTCCTCACGGTCTATCTATCTGTAAATGTCTATCTATGCATCATTGCATACTTTATTTCACTCGTCCTTCTGTTAGTTCGTCCGTCCATCCATCCATCCATCCATCCATCCCATCCAATCTATCCATCCATCCATCATCCATCAATCCATTCCATCACACTCCATCCATCCAATCCATCCATCCATCCATCCATCCATCCATCCACATCCATCGCATCCAGCCATCACATCCATCCATCCATCCATCCATCCATTCATCCATCCATCCATCCATTCCATCCATCCATCCATCCATCCCATCCATCCATCCATCCATCCATCCCATCCATCCATCCATCCATCCATCCATCCATCCATCCATCCATCATCCATCCATCCATCCATACCTCACATCCATTCCATCCATCCATCCATCCATCCATCCATCCATCCATCCATCCATCCATTCCATCCGATCATCCATCCATCCATCCATCCATCCATCCATCCATCCATCCATCCATCCATCCATCCATATCATCCATCCATCACTC